TGGGAGGGTTCAAAGCAACATCTTTTTAGCTAGTATCTAAAACCTTCTAGGTGGTATAGCACTGGTCTGTGCGTTGTTGTACAGAGGTAACTCGTGGTTGTTGTGATGCTGAAGCCTGTGACAGTGATGTGCCAATCATGGTAATGGGCGCCCATGGTGGACAGTGTTGGCTGGAGCTTCCCGACTAAATCAAGCCTGGAAGCAGGAGCGGCATCCACTTCCAAAATGGCTTGCCTCTGGAAACTCTATGTACGAACAGTGCTCAGGCTGTTCGTTCATAGGGTCGCTATGAGTTGTCTATGACTCAACGGCATTAAACAACAACAACAACAACATTCTGCGGGTTTCCTTTTTCACCCCATTGAAGAAGTTTTTTGATGTGCATATGGATTTGATTCTTAGAAGGTCCCATTCATCTATTTTATTGTCTCTTGGTTGTAGGGTTTTCAAGATGCTTGGAAGACTGTTCATGTTGTGAATTAGGGCTTTTAGAGTTCGCCTAAGCTTTTCTCTGATGAAGTTTATAGTCCTTGGTTTTACTTTGAGGTCCTTGATCCACTTTGAGCTGTTTTCTGTGGATGGTATGAGGTGTGGTCCAGTGATAGTTTTTCACTACTATTATCAGGTCCCTTTTCCTAGTGAGGAATTATCAATAGGGCCAAGAGTGACAACCAGTAGACTGAAGTCAGGAAGTACGATGCTCTTTGCTGCAGTTATTGATTTTTATCTGAAACTTTTGTTTTTGGCCAGCAAGTTCTTACCATTGAAGTTACTGAGTTCACTAATGTAGAACCCAAAGTGGAAGCTGGGTTTGCTAGAACCTGGATTTCAGACAAGAAAGGTTTCCCCGCCCCCTCTATCTTCAGGTTTAGAAATCACAGTGTGAGAATGTACTCACAACTGAAGAGGAAAATAACTCTAAAGGCAATAGACAAAATGAATATGAATTTACATTCATGTTAGATTTGACAGATGAATGGAGTTCTAAATCCCTTTTAAAAAAATAAACAGTAGGTTTTCCCTTTCAACTGCATATTCATCCAAAAGGAAGAATATGCCCTTTGAGAAAGCTAACTGCTGGCCCAGTGATTGGTTTACAGAGGAGAAAAGTGGTTTCCCCACTTCCTACCTCACTTTCCAATTCTTCCTCATGCTCAGTGCCATGAATGGCATCTGTGTGCCAAGTAGCACTCACAGAAATAAAAAGTGTGCATGGAAAGGAAAAGAGAAAGATGTCACAGAGGAAAAATGTCACTGAATAGCACTGGAGACTTGATGCTGTGATTCCTCTTTAAGGCATCCAGAAATCAGAGCCTGAGGTGACACTGTTCAGAGAGGCATTTTCGCTGTCTTCTCAGCCCCAAACAATAGCTGCTCAGGATTCCCAGAGAAAACCCCCAGGCCATGCTGCCTTCTGGACTTGGAAGCAGCCCTGAGCAGTCATCAGCAAGACCATGTTGGTACAGCCTTGGAGAGGCACAGGGGCCCTTCCTCTCCTCTAGCATGCACATATATGCTCACAATTCTAGAAAGATGACTGACTGGTCCCTTCATGTATTTTAAGATTTTATGTGTACATTACATCTGAAATCCATCAGCTTTTAGGGGAGTAATAAGCTAATGTCCTCTTTATAAATGCAAACTGTCAGGATGGCAATTTACAGAGAGCTAAGAAAATAAGAGGAAGACCAGACCTTTGATCCTGTGGATTGACACAGTGACTGCAGCCATGGGCTTGGGTGTATCAGCGACAGTAAGGACAGCACAGGGTAGGACAGGGTTCAGATTTGTTGTTCATAGGATCACAACGAGTCACACTTGATTTGGGGCACATAGCAACAATCAATTTTTTTTTTGTAAATTTCTACATTTAACTCCAAAGTTAGGAAAATTTGTAGATTGTAATTTATTTTATTTTTTAAATTTATTATTAATTTCAGTAAAAATTTACAGAGACTTTGGATTTCCATTCATTCATTGTTGCACTTTTCTCCCCTCCCAGCCCTACCCCGCTAGTACACTCTTGGAAAAGTAAAAGAAAAATTCTTTCATTGTTTTACAAACCCTCCCCCAGGTCCACACCACCATCTAGCCTTTGCTCTAGACTCCTGTCATGACAAAAATACCTAGTCACATATCCCTTTTAAACAGTTTTCTCTCTCATCTGTTTCAATGCAGTATACGTTATTGAACCCATCTTTCTCAGTCTCCCCCCCAACCCCACGGTGAATCCTGTTTTACAACAATGGCACCATGCAGTATTTGTCCTTTTGTGACTGAGATACTTCACTTAGCATAATGTCCTCCAGAGTCACCCATTTTGAATAATATTGCATGAGTTCCTTGTTTTTCAATGCAGCATAGTATCCCATTGTGTGAATATACCACAGCTTCTCTTTTTTTTTGTTTGTTGATGGGCACTTAGGTTGTTTCCAACTCCTTGCTATTGTGAACAAAGCCGCAATAAACATGGGTGTGCATATATCTGCTTGGGTGTCAGTTATGGTCTCTTTTGGGTATATTCCCAGTAGTGGAATTTCTGGGTCAAATGGTATCTCTATTTGCAACTTACTGAGAAAGCGCCATACCGCCTTCCACAGTGGATGCACAGTAGATTGTATTTTGTTACCCAAAATATGTGTTGTTAATCTCAACCTTTTGCTTTGGTTAGATGAAGGGGAATCAAAGGGAATGGGTTGCCTTTGTTATGTTAATGATGCAGGATTAGCTGGTGGCCTAGTGGATATAGAGTTAGTTGAATGCTATCAACCCAAAGAAAGGCAATCTAAATCTGCAAGCTGCTCTGTGTGGGAGGAAGACAGACAACCTGCTTACCTGAGAGTTAGAGCCTTTGAAAACCTGCTGAAGAATCAGTTGTGACATAACAACAACATGTTTTGAGTTACTATCTTTTGACTCTGAAAGAGAGTAAATGGAAGCTAGTGAAGACAGATGCAAGAAGTGATGCCAAGCACAGGAAGATTGTTCAAGAGCCAGAGCTGAGACAAGGAATCTCCTCTAGAGTCCAAAGAAAACTGATGTGAGTTATCAAACAGGGTTCAGGCCTTTTGTCCATAAGGCTTCTATGAGTCCGTAGTTAACACCACCACCACCACCTAAGAAAAAGAAAGACTTCTTCCAAAGTGGGTGCCCTGAATCTGCCTCATTGTCAAACAACCCACAGGTAAAGAGTTGTAATCCACCAACTGGTCAGCGGGAGAAAGATAGGCAATCTCCTCTTAAGCAATTTCCTGCCTTGGAAAACTCACTGAAGGATCACCTATAGGTGGGTTCCCACCCCATGGTGCACAACAGCAAGTTCCCTGAACTGAAAGAAAACTTCTGTTTGTTAAATCGTGGTATTTCTGTTACAGCAGCACTGAATAACTAAGACAGGAGGTGAAGAAGTGTTATATACAAAACAGAACAGCCAGCATAAAGATGGTGCCAAAACTCAGAAGTCCAAGCACTTTTCCGAGTAATCACCACCACCACCGTCATCATCACCATTCACATCTACTCAACAGGTGTCTACTCAGCCTCCGTGTGGATTCCACCAACACTGCGAAGGCTTTGCCCTTAGTTTTGGTGTTTAGAAGAGAGAGCCTGGTGCCCTTTGGTTGCTCAGAATTAGGATATTGAAAACTAGTTATGTGAAGGAAAAAGAAGGAAGGAGAATATCCTTCTCTAAGTGATTGTATTCTTCTGATCTTCCGTGTCATCAATACTATGGGGGTAATATTGTGTGGGTTTGGAGGTGAAGTATTAATAGCATACCTTATTCAGTTTGTAAAATGCCATCAAACGCTGCCTTTAAGGTGCCAAAGTAGTTTTGAATGTGCATATATGTTTCAGTTTTCGTGAAAAGACAAGTGAGAGCCTGGCTAGATAAGGAAGCCATCACCTAAAGCTTGAGGTGTGATGGGTTCATGACTCTCAAATACATTTAAAGTGGAGGAAGAGTAGCAATGGTAGGGAGAGGCAGGAATAAAGGGGGAAGGGCCAACTAAGGAAATAGTCACTTCAAAGCAAAGCTGAATTATTTCATAGGAGATTTTTCTTTACACAAGATGTAATCACCTTTATTTTATTTGTTAAAAACAAACACATTAAATAACAACAACAACAAACGCTAGCATGAGGGTAGGTCTGAGCTCCAAGGGTAGGTCCCTTCTCCAAGTAACAGCAAGGCTGGCGGCGCGGCTCCATATTTTATCTGAACTTCCTTCTGTGGTCTTTTTTATATTCAAGTCTTTCACTGTTCCAGGGCTGTGTTTGGAAAAGTTGAAAAACGTCTCCCAAGCTGGAGAAGAAAAAAGCCCTCATCAGATTCGCTGCACAACAGTCAACACGTTCCTGCCCTGGCCCGGGATCTCCATGCCCTCTGATACCACACATCTTGGCGCATCTTCCCGGGCTTCCACGCCTGGAATGTGACTCCCGTGGCGCGGGGGCAAAGTGAGCGCCGCACTCGGCTCTGCAGCCTCTGCTGGCTTGTGTAAGAATCGAGGCGCTGCCGGGTCCCGTAGTAAGTAGTAGCTTCTTCTGCGAGCAATATGTGTAAAATAAACAGTTGCTGAAAAGCATAAAGAATTAATGAAGTGAAAATCTCCGGTTATTTGTTTGGCAATTGACATGCAAGTGACCTCTCAAATACTTGTTGTTTAAAGACGTTCAGAGCAAGGATGAATGGATCTCTAAGCCCTTAGCCTCAGCGTGTGAATCTTTGGGTCTTCTTGGACAAGAAGGTAAATTACTACCAATTTAGCCTCAGGGAAGAGAAGGAGGTGAAGTCACAACCCGAAGGCTCTACTGAAAATCTCTCTGGGCGGCCCAAGACTCCAGAGGTGAAGTGCTGAGGAGAGTGCGGCGCTAGGACCCGGCAGGCGCCTGGCTGGGCCGCGCTCGGGCGGGCGGAGGAGGGAGGAGGGAAGAAGGCGGAGGGAGGAGGAGGAGGAGGGAGGTGGGAAAGGAGGGGTGTCGAGGGGGCGGGGGGAGTCATTTATGCAGAGCAGGCGCTGCTGCCATTGCCGCTCACACTCCCAGCGCGCCGCTCGGAGCCGGAGGGAGCTCCGGGAGCTAGTGAGCGCGCGCTCCAGCCTTGGCGAGCAGAGGGGGTGCCCGGTCGGCTCGCACCGCCCCCATCGGCCGCCTCCGCCGCGCTCCGGGGCCTGGGGAGGAGCGAGGGCGAATCCTCGAGTGCCCCAGCCGAGCGGCGAGCTCCAACTGCGGGAGGGCGCCCGCCCCATTCGGCGGCCCCTGCGCACGAGCCGAGGAGCGCACTCCGCCCGCCTCGCCGGCCGCGGAGCGCAGAGCACCGGTCCCGCAGCCCCGGGGATGGTCTAGGGGCCAGCGCGAGGCTCGCTGCGGCTCTCAGCTCGCCGCCGCCCGCTGCTAGCCCGAGTCTGTGAGCCGCCGCGGCCGGGGGCTGCGCGCTTGGGCGGCCCAGGCCGGAGAAGTTAGTTGTGCGCGCGGCTGAGTGCGCGGAGCGAGCGGAGAGGGACGAGCCCGGGAGGCGGCGAGGCGCCGGGGCCATGGGCTGGGGAAGCCGCGGCGGCGGCCCGGTCCGGCGGGACCTGCTGTGCGTGCTGGCGCTGCTTGGGGGCTGCCTGCTTCCCCTTTGCCGGACGCGCGTTTACACCAACCACTGGGCGGTCAAGATCGCCGGCGGCTTCCCGGAGGCCAACCGCATTGCCAGCAAGTACGGATTCATCAATATAGGACAGGTAACGACCGGCGGGCGCGGCCCCCGGCCCTGGAAGTTCCCGCACTTCTGGCCCCCTATCCAAGGGCCCTCCCCTTCCAGATGTGCTTTTGCAGCTGTTGCCCGAACTCGTGGGCGCCGCGCGCGCGTTCTCTGCCACCCAAACACAAACATTCACTCTTGCCAAAGTAGCCGGGTTTGGGCTTTTGTTTATTTATTTGCTTATTGCTTGCCGCGCGGGGACAAGGTAGGGTCCCGCGTGGCGAGCAATATAGAAATAAATTGGCGTTGTGCCTGCCCCTTAATTGTCCCAGACTCGACCTGGGACCTTTTGGCCTGCAAAGACCAGGAGCACCAGAATCCGGAGGAAAAGTCTCTGCGGGTGGCCGTGACGAGAGGGGCTGACGGATAAGTTCTTTTTAGGGATCCAGGAGTGAGCCCACCGGACTTGGGGGGCTCTGGGGCACCAGGGCTAGGCTGGAAACATTCTCCTTTCCTCCTGAATTTAGCCCAGCAAGAAGTTTCGTGTTCTTGGGCAATAGAACCGCGGGGACTGGAGCTGGCGGGGAGGCCAGTAGTGTCCGATCTGGCCTCAGCGCAGATTTAGGGGTGAGACCCCCAGCTTCCTCGCCTACCAAGCAACACACTCATGTGGATGGGGATTTCGGAAGGGGGTAGTTAGCAAGAGGTGGGAGACTTCTGAGCTCCTGCTGTTGGCGGGGGCAGGGCGCGGGGGGGGGGAACGGACAGTGACGGGACAGCAAGTCCTAGCAGGGACGTGTGGGTCCGAGTGCCCGCCAGTTGAGGACGCACATTTTTGTGGGGTGCCATTCGAGGGCTCTCCAGAGAGCTGCCTTTTTGGAGTGGGAAATGCCAATAGATAGAAATGATGCTAGGGCAGTCATTGGAAGCAGAGCAAGTTGGAGGTACCCGTGGACATTTTTCATCTCTCCCTGAATTCGGCACCCCTTCACTCCTCCAGAAATGGAATGTGCAGTGGACTGTGCAAGGGGGCTCAGGAAGTGACCCCCACTCTTACATGCCTCCGTTACGTCCCTTCCACGCTGGCCAAGCTGGAGCTGGCTAGACTGGAGCAAAGCCCCGCTGGAGTGGGAGGTGAGGATGGTGGCTGGGTGTCCTCGCAGCATGCGCTCCCCCGGGACCGCCGTGTGCGCACTCTGCGCGCGCCCTGCCGGGTGCAGGGAGAGGAAGGAGCCGCCGGGTGCCGCTGGAGCTGGAGAGCTCTGTTGCGTTCTGATTAGATGTTGTTGCGCTCTACAACCAGAAACTCGAGTCTAGTAGCCCCGGTTCCCGAGAAGCGCGGGAACCTCCCACCTCTCCAAGCCCTCCTCTGCCCATCCAGCAGACGAGGCACCCAGAGAGGGAGCAGAGTTGCTAAGGCTGTATCTGCCAAGGTGGCGGTGTTACTGGTGAGGGTTGAGGCGACAGGAGCGCTTTTCCCCAGCACAGAGGGAGGGAAGGCGGGCATGATCTAGAGGAGCCAGGTCTGTGAACAGTTAAGAAGAGGGCAGTGGCCATTGTCAGTATTTTCTTCCCCAAGGAAAGAAGTAAGGGTAAAGATTTTCTTTATTACGGGAGTTTACGGGAGTGCTTGCCGTCAGCCGAAGGAGTATTTTCTAATGGCTGCTTGTTGTGTTGTGGATGGCCAAGTGGGAAACCCGCTCATAGCGGACCCTCTAGCGGGTTTTCAGAGGCAGTAAATCATACCGCAGAGCTGGTGGTGAATTCAAACCACGTGGCTTTGGGTTGTCAGCACAACTCCTTACCTTTAAGCTCCTAATGGCTTGTTAGGAGTCAGAAACTAAACCTTTCCCATTGTCATAGGATAGATTCCAAATAACAGCTAACCTATAGCTTAGAGGGTTTTTAAGGCTGTATAAATCCTTAAGGAGGAAAAATACCTAGTGGATCTGAGCCCCTAACCTCAGTGCATCACTTGAGCCGGGGGCATCAGTCTCTCTAAACCTGAGGTTGTTGTGATCTTGAAGTTGGACCAGTGCCAGACATATTTGGAGGAATAAGTTCTTGAGCTTACTTGATTCCCTTTCTTGTTCCTCAAACTAACCTTAATTTGTGGCTTTTGCTTCACATACAGCAGGACAGTGGCAAGGCTCTGAGTCAGAGGTGGGATTCTTTGGTCCAGGCTCACTGCCCAGTGGATCTAGCTTTTTAGGAAATCCTTCCCTACTTGTTTGAAATGGGAGTATTGAAAAAAAAAAAGTTCCCTTTTCCCTGAATTCTGAGTTGGTGGCTCATTTCCTCTATAGATCAAAGGAGTGTAACCCTATTTTAAGTATTGAGGGTGGTAAATTCAGTTCACACCTGCAATATCATTGCACTGTAAGGGCCAAATGTATTTCTCATTCATCCTTTTATTGCTCTGACCTTTTAACACTTTAGACATCCTTTTGTTATTCTTTTCTTTCCATCAATAAACCAACTAAGTCTGGAAACTAATTTGCAAGTGTTGTGGCTCCAAAGACTGTTTTCACTCTTTTGGTGGTGGGTGGGGGTGGTGGTGGGTGTCCCACCTCATATGTCACCAGTGGAAACGGAGACCTTGTGTTATTTCTGAAGTCATTATAATACCCTGCCAGTGTTTATGAGATGTACAGAATTTGAGGCAGATTTTCACATGAAAGAGACCACTTTGACCATCTACTTAGTATAGTGACACAATGTTTTGTATATCATCTTAGCACTTGACTGTCACTATAGATGAAGTTTCTGACCTGCAGATTTTTACAGAAAAGTAAGTATAGGTGTGCCTTTTCTGTGCATGCCATGAAATGTTCAGAATAATGCAAGAAGCAAGTAATCAAGTCAGGCTTTATTTCCTAGGAAGGAACCATGAAGAGGTTTATCTTTTTGTTTAGTTTTGGTTTTGCCTCTGGTTATAAATATATTATGTTTGGGTCTCACAAAGTGTTTGCTTTGGAAACAGTTATGTCTTGAAATTTACAAATGATAGATACCTAACCATAATGATGAGTGGTTGTTATATTAATTAGTGCCATTTTTGTGGTTTGTCTCTTGTCTCTTTCACCTGTTAGCACTGACTATATGCACTTTTAAAATTTTTTATTTTTTGTGTGTACTGTCAAATCGGATCTGACTGGTGCAGGAGATTGCCCCTCCTCCAGCAGAACATCTGTTGGTTTCGAACCACCTCTGGGATTGCAGTGCAGCTTCTTGCCACTAGGCCACCAGAGCTCCTTAACTATATACACTTTTAATGTTCTTTGGCCAGCTTCTCTGTAATAATGTACATACTGTTTGTTGTGTTTTTTTTAAATTTTATTTTATAGTAGTTTGTGTTTCATTGTGTTTCACACTATTCTTCATTCACATTTTATTTCATACAATCATTCCCATGCATTGTGTTTTATAAAATTAATCACCGTTGGACCTTGCCTGTCATTACCCAATCTTTTCAGGTCCCTGCTGGGACCTTCACCTGCTTCTTCTGCCCACCAAATTATGCAACCTGGTGGTTTCGCCACTACTCATCCTCATTACTCTGCTTCCATCCATCCTTGTGTCCCTATCGATGTTTTGCTAGTTGTCCTTTTATTTCTACAATTATGGTTTTATTAAGTGTTTACCCTTATGAGACTGAGTTAGCTCACCCTGCATGATGCTCTAGAGTCTTTCCCAAGTTACATAGTGTTTTTCGAAATTGTTGCTCCTGCATGCTACATAGTATTCCATTGTGTGAATGTGCCATAACTTCTCAATCCATTTGGTTGTGGTTGGACATTTGGGCTGTTTCTGTGTTCTTGCACTGGTGAATAACACTGTGCATGCTGTTTGACTCACACAGAGAGCCCTTCTCACTAATCCTGTCTTCTGACCCTTCATGCTATCTGTCTCTTGGTTAGAACACTGTCTCATTGCTTTCAAGTCAGAACCTGCTCATAGCTGAGCCTCCAGCAGGTTTTGAGAAGCTGTAAATCACACAGGAGGATACTGCCTATCTTTTTCCTGTGGAGCAGTTGGTAGATTAAAACTGAATAATGCCTTTGGCCTGGCATTGCAACTTCTTACCCACCAGAGTTCCTCGGTTAGAGGATAGGAATGACAGAAAGGTGCAAGACCTGACCGACTGACAGTTGTGAATTTGTGTTTGCATTACATCTTTTGCAATCTAGAAGAAAGTAAAAAGGTCTCCTGTAAAGAGAGTAATATGTAATAGCTGTATTCATCTTTCTGTCGGTTGCTGATCCTTGAGTCTGTCTCCCGGGTAGCAGAAATCCCTTCCCAGACTATACAGTGTTTGACCATGGAAGTTATCTTGTTTAAGAAGATTTAAACAAGATGCCAGAAGGATACAGCTGGTTGCAAGCAATACTGGGGGAATATTTAACCTGGAACCCTTATTGCAAGCATTCCAATCTATGTAATAACTGAACTTGAGCAGAGCCCTGGTTCCTTCATCTGTAACATGATGAATCTCCAAATAATACAGTGAGCTCACTGCATCACTTATCACATAGTTAGACTTACAGAGGAAGGTTTGTTGGATTCAAGTCTCCAGGAGGCTGAGTCACGTTTTATTTAGATATGGGAGACACACAGTTTTAAAATGCTATAATGTAAAATAGGAAGATAAGGAAAGTGATCTTTGATAACTGAGCTAGTTGAGCCAAAAGACTGGAGAAATGTTTTCCTCATCTTAGCTAACAACTTAAAATAGTTGTATGTTGAATGCAAAACTAATTATAACTAATTTCCCAAGCAGCGCTCGCCTCCCATGTTGATCCTGCTGTAGAACATTAAATATTAGGAGATAAACTTGAAGTGGGGGAGTGAGAAGAAATCTTTTTGGAGACTATTTATTTTAGAAGACATCTTTCCTTGTTCTCAGAATACCTTGCTAGATTTTGCTAAATCAAGTTCAGATTTTTTTTTGTGATTTTAACAAAAGTGTATCGAAAAGGTGGATTTTCATTCATTCATTGTTGCATATTTTCCTCCCTACCTCCCCAGTTCACCCTTTAC